TTGGAGTTGGGAAATCTTTCAAAGTCTGTGTATGTCCTCAGTTATCCACCTCACGGAACTCTTGAGAGCTTTAAAAACTTCTTTTCACCTGATCCAAGAAGCTTCTTCAGTTCTAGAACAAATGCTGGAGGGTCCCAGGCATTAAACCGCTAGTGGAGCTTCTGAGGGTTGTTCATCCAATATTGACGTCTTGGGCGTGTCTAAATCTTCATTGTGTCCTCCTCTTGGAAACAAAGGAGGGAAAGCATAACTCCCAATGCTTCCCGCCATCAGCACTCGTTAATGAAATGTAATGGCATTGGTAAGCAGGTAAGGCACTGCTGGGATTTGAACCCAGGATCTCCTGTTTACGAGACAGGCGCTTTGGCCAGCTAAGCCACAGCGCCTTGAGCGGTGTACCTCTGGCTACTGTCCAACAGCTGGTGGGGAAAAATGTGACGAACCGATTCAAACCTGTGTCTGCAGAGGTTACTTGGTTTTTCCCTTCCCTGAAGGAGGCACTGTAGCTTAGCCGGTATCATCAGAAGGGGTCAAAACAGATCCAGCTGCCCTCACTACCTGGCCAAGACCAGCTAACATCAAGTAGCTTAAGTCTTTCCTTGGGTTCACTGGATATTACAGGAGGTTTATAAAAGACTATTCCAAGCTTGCAATACCCCTTAATCACTTAGGTGCTGGTTGCCTCCCACTGAAGAGAAAATCCAGTCTTTCTGCAAAATTTTATACATGTTAGGCATTTGTGTTAACCACAGTATTGTTGAAAAAAAATACATGCCTGTTTTAAGATCATATTATAGTGCAGTAGACAAGGTATCTACTGTAAATATATTTGAATAAGCCACCTACAATATGTCATCAAAAATAAAATGTTTTGATCCTGCTCACCTTTAACTGACATCCAGCTCTATGCTGACTCTCTTCCTGAGTCCTGACACTTGTAGAAACCTTCATCAGACTCTGACACTGCAGAGATTTTCAGCTCCCCTCGTGGATCATTTTGTATAAGTTTGTCATTGTGATAGTGTAATGGGGAAGGCTTTAGGACCCAGGGGACCCAATGGAGGGTATACAAGAGGACGTAGCAGCAGCTGCTCTTCATTTCCACTGATGAGCGGCTGTGAACAATGGTTGTGTGAGTAGGTGAAGAGCCTGAGAAGTTTTCATTGTCTGCTACACAAACAGTTGTATGTATGTAGGTTACATCATAGCCTTTATGAAGATTCAACAGAGAAATCTAAATCAGCCATTATTCACAGTGTCTACCATAAGGCAAATTAAATGCATATATACCATAACAAGGCTGAATGTGCTGTATGCTGATGTGTTAAATTGACTTTTTCATAAACCATTACTAGCATCACACAAGTGTCTCATCTTTGCCTCCTACTTGTCTGCTTGCTTTGTTTGATAGGAGCTTTATCACCAAAAAAAAACAAAACAAAAAAACTACCCTTACACACATTTGTTGTTGGGTCATTAAGGTAACATTTGAAGTCTACAAAATACATATATTAGATGGGTTCAAACTGACATAGAGGTATAACTGCAGAGATAAAAAAAAATATTAGCAAACCAGACAATAGACTGTTATTTCCCTCCTGTCATCGATATGATCATCCAGTAGGCCACCACTGGTACATTGCAGTCATAAACTG